GGAAGAAAAATTGGCCGCTCTTAGCCAACTTAAGCGAAGTCATTTTTATAGAAGAACAATGCTGGTATTTGGAACAAACCACTCTTTCTGGTTTTAAGACAGTCTATAAAAAAGGGTAGCCGATCTCATAAGCTTTTAGCCATTTTCTAGAGTTGAAAAAACGCTTCCAAGAATTAATTTTTGAAGCGTAGGCTTTCAAACTTGCCAAATAACAAATAACTTGATTGAGATGATCCTTAAAAAACTTTTGCACAAAAGCTTCGTGCAATTTTCAAACTTTTTCCAAAATTAATCTCACAGCAAGGATCCCCTAGACTGAAATTATTCAAGTCTATATTATTCAGTGTTTTTTAAACGATTTTGCTGTAATCAATATTTTTCAGCTTCAGAAAAATGATGCAGGTGGACATTTTTTTCGAAATCAGAAAAAAAAAATGAATGACTAAAAACGATGACAGATAAATGAGTTGTTTTTAGAAAACAAATAACGGAAATACAGATATGATTATATTCACCATAGCTAAGCAATTCTAACAACCTATACAACCAGAATAACAAAAGTAAAAATTTTAAAATGTTATTCTGGGTTTGTACGTTTCGAAACTTCGAAAACTGAAATAAAACTGCCCATTGACGTAAGACGAGAACGTTTTTTCGCCTTCAATTCGCATGAATTTCCTCTGTTAACGATAACCGTTCGAAGAAAAAAGCCACAGGGAACCTCTTTACTAATACATTTCTTTAATAAACCCTTAATAGCCAAGCAACGGTTTCTTGAAACTGGTGCTGGACTTTGTCATATATATGTAATTCCGTGCATTCGATCATTCAGGTGGTTAATATCTCATAAACTTTGAGCAGTGTTACGAAAAATTGTCCAAGTTAAGTCCCAGAACATTCTAGAACCCGAAGTCATCTAGACGTGACCTTCTAGTAAAAAGAACATTCTGGAACGTTCTATTTCTTACATAATTGTTCAAATTTAGAAACCGTGTTAATCTACTAAATTTAGTTCTTTAGAGAAGTTTCTGGATCCTTATACTTTATATATATAAGAGCGACAGTTCCATCGAACAGAGAGAGAGATTTGCGAGGAATCTTAGTGCTATAAAAACAAGAAGTCAAGTACGCGGAAATAAAACAGTTTGTTGTTGTTACCGACGATCCTGAGTTTTGTCTAGGAACAACCCTGCTCTACATCGACACTCGTAACAACCAGGGATGATCTTCTTTGGAGGATACCCTTGTATATCGCCCTCATTTTCCTTAGAAACTTGGACCGTACAGGAGACTTAACTACTTTCTTCGACTGAACTCGCTAATGTAATGCAGAGGAGCACAATAGGACTTTACGGGGGTCAGTTATTTTATAATTATAAAGCCTTTGGCACCTGACCACAGGCGACACTTTCAAGGAATTAATAATAATAATTTATAGTCCAAGACGCATGACTCCAGTCAATCCATTGCATTAGGTTAAATTTTTCACCTAGTATCATTTTACCAGTTTACCATTTGGTGCAAAGAGCCCAAACAGGAAGAAAACAGTTCATTTCTAATATTAATAATCATCTTGGCTTGAAACCAACAGTTTCTATCGTAACCATAGCTACCGGACAATAATAAAAGAAAACACGTTTTGTTTAATAACACTAAAGTTGGGCAACAAGGAACGTTGGATCTTTGAAGGTAAGAAATGATATATTTAATGCATGGATAACTTGAGTTTGACTTTCATTCCATGATATAAATTGAAAATCCACCCTTCTCTATTTCTGTGTGGCTGAAATTAAACGAGAATGAAAAATACCGAGCTTCCAAATGTGGGTATAACAAACTTTTGGCGAAAAAACAGCTTCAGCTATTTGAAATAAACAAGATCATTATCCCTAATTTTAGTTCCCGATAGTTTAGCGATATTTGTTTATATTTATAATGACACCCCTTGTCGAAATTGTAGTTCCATCATTACCGTAAATAGAGAAAAGTGCCAAATTATAAGAAGTCAGTGCTGGCGGTTCCAAGCTCGTCACAAATTGTAAAACTCGAAACGACAGGAAATTCCATAAAGCGATGAGAGAGGATTTAATGCGGTGACGAAGCCCACTGTTTGGGTTCAATTGACAGTAAAGAGAAATAGATTTGATGACAAAATCTTCTTCATTTGAAATATCCAACTTGTAAAAATCTATTGCCGCTCTTTTCTGTACTTATAGAGATTTCCCTTAACGAATTGTTTTGTCTTATTCCCAAACTTAGGCTGATATGCAGCTCGTTTGAATTCCCTTCATATTAAAGGAGAAGTGATGATTTTGAAACATAAGAACCTTGAAAAATATGAAAGTTGATTTGCATGGTTCCCAATCGGAAAAAAAAAGTCGGGAACTAAGTTTTGGGTTATAGGTTTCGTTGAGTTAAGTTTGCAGCAATTTTATCTTACCGAAGAAAAGCTGAAAACGTTTTATAATTTAAAAGTTATTCCAATGAAGGTCTTGGAAGCCAGATCCGATACTGGATGGTTTGGCTGAATCCAATTGTAAAGTACGGCGCCCTTTTTCCAAATATAAATTTGCTATTATCCTTGAGATGGAGGTAGCGCTTAAAACAACATTCAGAGCGTCGTCTCACAAAGGCTCTGGATTCAATACAGCAGCTTTCTACACTGGATCGTGCTTAATTATTGTATGGTGTCTGAGGGGTTCTGCCTCGACACTCTTTATGCAATCCTGATATATCGAGATGTAGGTCGTATGTTGTTTGGCAAATCTATGGAATTTCAGTGGTTTAAGATCCCCCGTTTACAGGAGATTTTTTGTTTGTTCAAACTGAAGAACTTACTAGAACTCATCACTAATTAAATTTGACATCAATGAATGTGAGGGAAGATAAAATGAATAATTACTTAGGACTTTAAATAGGAAAATCATCGTTACATTTTTGCGTTCCTGTATTATTTCGACTTAGTAGGAGGACCGGACGAAACAATATTTTGCTCAATGTAGTGCAGTGGGTGGTACAGCTTAACAACTACAAACACAATATTCGAAACTCAAAAAAGAGTTTCCTTTTTTCATTTCGTCCGATTAAAACAAGAGACTCACAATCCATCAAAGAACGTGGCTTACTTTATTATTTCTGATTAATTTCAAGATATAGTCCAAATAACGAATTCATGTTTTTGGAAAATGAAAGCGAACTGTGCGAGTGCAGGGCTAACGTCTTTTTTGGCGGAAAAAGGTTACGGCAATATATCTGGCCCTACACACCTATTACCCTCCAGGGTATCGTGAGCGGGACTGTCGGTACATGAGATCTATTTTTATCATCATATTTTTGTGAGAATTTTCTTTTCGTCAGTTATCGACGCTTCAATCAATCTTGTAAGGAGTATTCCCTGAGAGTGAAAAAAAAAAAGGAATTTAGGAATCGATCTTGTAAATTTGAAGGTGTTGCTTCGCAGAAACTCGAGGAGACTTGGCTTTCTATGTGACTGCATTATAGAAGTATTTTCACCTAATGTTCTTAAGAATATGTTTATAATGTTATTGTCTGAAACGCAAACCCTATCTAGCATAAAGGAAGACACTGAAAACATGTTCATTCGCAGACTTTAAAACGCTTACCCATGTATGTTATTCGCATCAATAACTTTGCAGAGTCAGGACTGACAGTTGTTAACCTTGTTAGCATTCCATTTTCAATACCAAAAGGGCGGTTTCTATCTCTTTATCCATTATTAAATGCAGGTGGTCGACTCGGAGTTTGTGGCATACTGAAAGTATCAATATTGAGCTCTGTTGTCTTGAGAATGCATGGAAGTTTCAGCGTTTCTAACATTCGCAGTCTGGACTTCATCGATGACTTACTTGGTGTTTGGTAAAGGTGAGTTTCAAATTGCGAATCATTTTCTATCCTTATGTTCATACTTCTGTCCTTGTTATCTTATCGTCTATCACTCTTTTTACCTATTTCACTTATCCACAACAGTTCATGTACTGAGCTTTTAACGTTTCGTTATGACAAAACTAACAACCTGAACTGAACAGTGAAACATGATTTGTAAAGGAAGGAACTCAGTCTTGAAAACTTCTTTAGTAGATATTAATAGTATTTAACAAAGGCGTGTTATTATGATGAACCATATCGGTAATTTGCAGTTGTTACAAAAAAACTAAGAACTGCCACGATGAAGAATTGCTTCATTTAAAACCACTTCAATCTTAACGCTCTGCTCATATTTGCATGAAAGGGTAATAGATCATCAAAAACATTTCGTTGTTGTTGAGCAGACGAGAATTCGATACTTTGCATGGGAAAAAAAAAATTGGCCACTCTTCGTCGACTTAAGCAAAGTTATCTTTAGAGAAGAACAATGCTGGCATTTGGAATAGACCACGTTTTCTAAGTTTGAAAATTTGTCTATAAAAATAGGGTAGCTCGTCCCAAAAGTTTTTAAGACCATCCCTGGTCAAAGTTTTTGAGATATAAGAGAATTTAGATTGTGTTCATTGCACTAATAACAAGTACATCAAAAAATGGAAACATTATTAACTCCCTTTGTAGTAGGAATTTCACAGAGTGTTTGATAAGCTCGACTTTTCTATCGATGTGTAGACTCATCTAAAATCCTACAAGCTTCTTGAATTGCCAAATTCATGTGAAACACGAAATATTTGCCTCAAATGTTTCGTACCTCAAAAAATCCCAACCTCTCAAATAAAGGTATTTTTATGTTATTGTTTAATGATAAATAAATAAAATATTTCGATAAAAAACGGCGAGGCAATTCACAAAGTTTTTCATTACATTTAACGAATCATGGTTTTTTTTGTTTGACTTACGTTTTTATAGCATTTATTACCATAGTTTGCTGAGATCCGAGAATTTTTGCTAAGAGGTTTGTTCTTAGAACTTTTGGCTCGAAATTTATTTTTTTTTTGACGGAAAATTATATCTTATGGTCATATTTCAATTTGTCTATTTTAGAGCGAGAGCGCGCAATGGTGTTTCCGGACTACTATTTCTTTGCTGAGAGATGTTTGGTAAACCATACCATCGAAAAGAAACGTGTCAATAACTTGGATGACTGTGAGCTAATGTGCTACCTGAACGACGACTGTGTCAGTCTTAATTTCAAAAAAGATCCAGAGGATGAGGAACCACCTCACCTCTGTGAACTAAATAACGCCACTCATCTGAAATACGACAGTGACTTGATAACTGATGCCAATTTTTATTATCGTGGGTCGAAGGTGAGTTACAAATCGATTTTTCCAAATCGTCGCTTTTGAATAATATAATAAAAGTAATTAATGTTTATGCAAATTTTCGTGTATTCGATCATTCGGTGTTTCGTTTCTTCTTTCATCTTCATTTTTCTTCTTCTTTAGAACGCTTGTGACAAGAGTCCCCACTGCGAAAATAACGCAACTTGCCAGTCTGGATTTACACTCAAGGGATATCGATGCTTGTGTCCGCCTGGATTCGAAGGAGAATATTGTGAAAAGGGTATGAGTCTAAGTCGACACTTGAAATGAACGTATATGAGATTTTTTCTGACTTTCAATGCTGGTATGACAACTGTTCTTTAGTTGCTGAAAGTGGCGTGAATTTATCTCACTGTATAAGGTGCTGAAACTTAGAATCTAAGAAAAATTTCTTTCTATATTCCATTGAGCGTGTGGAATGTATTCTTCGTTCGCTTTTTGTATATTTTCGTTTTGTTTTGTTTTGGTTTGTGTGCTTCTTTGTTGTTTTTTGTTGTTGTTTTTTTTTGTATCTGTTTTTGTTTGTTTTTGCTTTATTTTTTTATTTGCCTTGAATGTTCGACGCCTTTCTACGGCAAAATAAGAGCAGTTCATATGTATGTCAAATGCTTAATATAGTAACTGCGAGGAGAGCTCAGAAATAATAGCTTAATTGAAAGGTACGACCAGAGAACACTAAAAGTAAGAAGCCTTCAAACAAATTGAGGTTTTTGCGAATTGCTGAGTTCCTATGGCTCTTTGATAGAAACCAAAATGCTTTTGTCTTTAGTTGATATTTTATTCATGTATTTTTTTCCTCTGTTTCTTTCTAATTTTACGATAGATACTGATAAATGCAAAGCATTCCCTGGCAAATGCCACAAGAAGGCTACGTGTTATATCACATGCGGATCATACGTGTGCACATGCAAATCTGGATCTATCGTAGATGGGCATGATTGTAAACGTAACCGTCAATAGTCTCAAAAGCCGTTAGATTCTCGTTGAATAGTACAATCAGATTTTGCTTGGTTTGTTTTTTGTTGATGTTTATTTTGGTAACGTGGCAAGCCATGTTTTAATTCTTCAAAATAGATAAGACAGCTACTCGACTAAAAGTTATTAAGTGATAATTTTTTTGCAGAGATAACTCGTTTTCACTAGGTACGACAATCTCGCGTTCTCCGCAATCCAGAAAAAGGTTGAAAACAGCCCATGGCTTGCACTCTTAAACACGGTAATGGCTTATACACTGGAATTTTTGCATCATTTTGAAATCCCAATTTTTTCATCTGTGATTTCATAGACATTGACGAGTGTAAAGGAAACCACTCTTGTCACGAGAATGCAAAGTGCACCAACACCATTGGATTACATGTGTGCGATTGTCAGCCTGGATATACTGGAAATGGACAAAACTGCACAGGTGAATTTGATTCACATAAGAGGAGTTCATATGTTTGTTGATTGCTCAATAGAGTTAACTGCAAATGGAGTTCAGCTTAACTGAAATGTTTCATCAGAGAACTACTTAAAACAGAAAGCAAAAAAGAAATTGAGGTTTTTGCGAACGCCAAGTTCCTACGGCTCTTTGATAGAAACCGAAATCTTTATAAAGTGATAGCTTCTTAAACAGACATCTTGTTTTCTTCATGTTCGACAATCTCGCGTTCTCGGACGCCAGCAAAAGGTTGAAGACAACCATGGTTTGCACGCTTTAACACGGTGCTGGCTTATGCATGACAATTTTTGCATAATTTTGATACCCGCTTTTCTATCTTTTAATTCATAGACATTGACGAGTGTAAAGGAAACCACTCTTGTCACGAGAATGCAAAGTGCACCAACAACATTGGATCATATGTATGCTAGTGTCAGCCTGGATATACTGGAAATGGACAAAATTGCACAGGTGAATTTGATGTATTTTGTTTAGTATTATAAAAGTGCACCTGAGTGGACCGGAAAAGAGCAACATCTACTCCATGGTAATCAACATTGCTAAAAAATAGGATCCTTGGTGAGTTGTTTTACATCGCCTTCAATCATGTTACGGACCCCTTAAATCGTGTTTCATTGTTGTAACTGAATATCTTCGATGCTTTTTGTTTCTTTCTGCCTTTGGATGGACCTTACAATAATAATTATAGACGACGGCGTGAAACGAAGTCGCAAGTCTTACTTTGAACCTTAGAGCTAGAAGGTGTAAAACTTCGTAAATGTGTTAAAAACCAAAATAAAGTTGAAAAGAAAACTTCAATGCATGTATATTTTAAAACAAAACGTTAGTGGTCGGTGACGTAATTTTTATTGACTATCCATTGAAATATTACGAACTCTTGTTACCAAATAAAAATAAAAAAAAAACCTTGAATGTAATTAATATGCATGCTCCATAATAAGAGCTTGAAAATATTTTTTATTGTATCTTTCTATCAGGATGGCTGACTTTTTAACGTTTCAGGTTGTTGTCGATCTCCGATTTTTTTTTTTTTTTGCACAAAATCTTGGTTTTTTGTAGCAAAAATTGGCGTCGAAAGACTACGAGTGTTAAATTTTGTGACTTCGACTTTCATTTATTTGTCTTGACAATCGCTATATTTCTTATTTTCAATCTTCCCGACTCGTACTTCGCGTGGGCGAGGGAGGACGTATCTATCCTCTATAAACTAGTCCGAAGTCGACGTTCAAAATTCGCGGGTGACGCTGTACTCACCAGCGTTATAGAACTCGGCGGTGTTGCCCGTCCAGAAGACTTTTGGAAGTAAATAATAATTTATTCAGAGACTTTGCAATCCATAACAAAATGCAATTATTTCAACTAAAGGTGATAATCTTGCTTCATAATTACGGCCTGAAACTATTTTCATTATACAACAATTTGAATCGATAAATAGCCCATTTTAGTTCCACGTTTTCGAGGGAACATTCTGGTAATTTCGAAATAAACATTGACGTTAAAAGGTTACAGAAGATTGTTGTGACACTGATATCATTTCCTTTAGATTGTAATGACATTCATTGTAGCTTGATCTCGACGTAGTATACACATTATCTTTCAGACATTGACGAATGCACTGAGGCTCCTACGAAAATGAACGAATGTCATCCGAATGCCTCTTGTATTAATACTCAGGGCTCATACAACTGCTCTTGTAATCCCGCATACAATGGGGATGGTTTTAAGTGCAAAGGTATGTTTGGTTTCTTAAAAACTTCTTAACTGGATGGTTTTAATTGTAAAGGAACGTTTATTTTCTGCCATGCCTTTCATCTTTTTAGAGTTGGTATTGGATAGAATTTTAATTCATTTCTGCCATATTTTTTTAAAAATATGTCATAACTATGTAAATTATGTTTAAAAAATCCTTATACACGACTTTGCCGAAACTGCGTGCAAATGAATGCTGGGACTTGCCAACCCAATACCAGGTCTCTCAGGGGGATGAAGATATAAATTATTTTAAGTGTATGCTTGTAAACTTTAAGATAAGATCATTGATCTGTGTGGCATGGGAATATGACAATGACCGTAGATATTCCAAAAGGAACAGAGTTCAAAACAAAATCTTTTATTTACAATTTGTGGCTAGCCGAAACTGTTTGGTAAGTTCGTGCAGAATTCCGAAAAAAATTATTCTAACGTTTCCTTGCACCTTTCACTTAATTCCGATCAGGATAGTCCGTTTGAGGACAAATTAAAATTAAATATGCCGAAGAATACTCAATTTGGCAAGTAATAGAGATTTTCAAAGACTTAGCTTTGGAATAACGAAAAATGCAATTTGAAAAGCTCGAAGGACTATGGCTGGAAAACAGAACTTGCCAAGTTCAAGTGATGCTTTGTGAGAGTTGGGCTATCATTTGGTTCAGTACATATTATTTAGGTGTTGATATGTGCTTAAGGTATAGTTCAATGGTAGATTTTTTCTTTCACTGACTCAACTTTCAAAATTTTTAACGCAACTTGAGCGAACTGGTACAAAGTTTGCCAATACCAGCGTTCATTCTGACCAGTATAAGCTAAGTCGCGCACTTCGATACGCTGTTAAGGTTGCTGATAGGTCAAAAACAAATTAATTACAAAATTTATTAAGGAAACATTTCATTGAAGTTTTATCATTTCACTGACAGCTTTTCAATGCAAGTTTGAATGATTTCTTATATCAGATATGAGATTAAATGTATTCATGTTTGTTTACCTCATGCACAACCTGAAAAGTAACTTAAAACAGTACATTTGCTGTTTTTCACAATTACTTCTCAGACCCTTCATCGGCCTTCATCACTTTCATGTGCTCGAATTTCCGAATAAAGGAAGAGTGCAGTCGCGGTACATGTGTGACATTTGTGCTCTTCCTAATTTGCATAATATGTTCTTAGCCCGTGGGCACTACTGCTGTGAAATGCCCAGCTCTGATCTGGCTCCTAGCCAATCAGAGTGTCCGCTATATCGGCAACAAACTAAAGCCATATAATAAATAGTTATTTTTATTCTCTTGAAATGCAAGGTCTACTGCTAGTTGGTAAACTGCTGGAATTATGTGAACATAGAAAAAATAAATTTTACCATTGATTCTAATGACTTTAATGCCCTTAAAATTAAAATTTTCTTTGTAGCCGATCCTTGCCATCATTACTTAAACCTGAGTGAGGCAAATCGAAACACAAATTACCAAACACTGCCATCTGAACCGACTTTGTGTGACAGCCGACTTCCTAAGGGATGGTATCGTTTTGTGGGAGATGCAGGAACAAAAATGCAAACAACACCTGTACCAAGAGACAGATGTGGTACAGTCAAGTCAGGGTGGTTAGAGACTGCTCATCCTTCAGTGGAAGATGGTAAAGTTCGCCGAAATGTCTGCTTTGGTTCTCTCTCTACCGATTGTGGAGATGGTAGGTCAATTTTTGTGAAAAACTGTGGATTATATTATATATACGAACTTCTGGCGCCTCAAGGTTGTCCAAAGCGCTTCTGCGGGACAGACGAAAAGTGAAGCATAAAACCTCACAAGATAAGAAGATACATAATTGAGCCCGAAGGTGATTTAACGCTTTATGCCAACAATCAAGGAAACTCAACTACCAAGTCAGTGTTAGCCAACAAAATAGACGAAACGTGAGCGAAAAGGTTTGCAAGGAAAACAAACATGGAAAACATTGACTGGCCCAATGAATAATTTTCAGATTTGTTTTTCTTTGCGTTTGACAACATTTGAAATGAAAGAAAACATAACAGTTATCGAAGTTGAGCCTTTTTAATTAAATTTTTTACGCATTTCTTATTTAATTCTATAGGAAAATCTCATCCGTAACGATAACATAGACTGATACCAAAGCCTTTATAGCACAGGTTATTTCTGTAAGGAGGCTCGTTATTATTGCGATAAAATGGGGATCCAGATAATTTTTGCCGCGGTTTGATTCTGAAATTCCATGTACCGTTTCTTCGTTGCATTGTTAGATGTACCCATTATTATTATCACCTTTTTTTTCCTATTTTTTTTTACTTTAGTCTTCTGTTTGCTTTAAAGACAAAACCACACTCGTGGATGGGTTCCTAGGTCTAGAATTAGTTAATAAGGAAGGTTTCGAATAAACCCCAATGCCCTCTCAATAAGAGTAAGTAACATCTGAAAGTGATCGAGAAAAAAAATCAACAAATTTTCGAAGCCATATGTAATATTTGAGTTTATATATGTATATAATAGTTTCGCACAGCATCTGAAGGTTTCGCGCTTTCTTAAGTTATTCAGTGCGTTCTTCTGGCAAACTTTATCCATGTATGCTCAGTAGAAGAGTGTTAAATGCAAAAAAATCTGTCATTGTTCCGTAACTTTAAAAAAAAAACAAAAAAAACATAATGGCTCAGAAAGGATAGAGCTGCCTAATATGATATTCCTAGACTACTCTGAGTCATAGAAAAATGTTACTACTCATTTATCTGTAATTATTTGTGTCTAATGCCCGGGAAGAAACTTGAACGGTGAGGAAATAAGACAAAACACAACTGAGATTCTTTAAAAGCGTAAGGAACTTATCGGAATATGGATAAGTCATAGATGATCTAGTTTAAGGAAACTGCTATAGGTTGGGTCATCCTGTGCCTCAGATTTTTTAATTGAGTAACCATTTAAATATAATTTTAAAGCTGCATGTGAATACTTTACATTTATCATGCATGAAACATTTTCAAATGAAACAATGAACAAGGACAGCAAGGACAGGTGAAGGTAGATGCATGACAACACAACCGGGCAGAAAGGAACAGATCGATACATCAAGACGGTTTTTGACTTAAGGTATCACTGTAAGGGACAGTAATGAACGGCGAAACTTTGTTAACAACATATGAAAGTAAGTAAGAGAAAAAGGAAAATCGGCCAGTGATGAATCACTTTCGACGTTCATTTAAAACTGTTTAGCTTTTCTGTTCAGCTGTCTGGTTTAATTCAGCAAGAAAA